TTTCCAGATGGATGAACTGCCGGAACTCTCTTTATAATTTCTATTCTTTTTTCCCTTCTACCATGGTTGATACCAAACTGCGATATCTACTGATAAAGACCACTTGCCTTTACATAACACCATGACCACGACGGTCAATCAATGACGTTCTTGACTTCTTGTATCTGTCCAGGTGTATGCTACCGGGATCCTTGATCTCTCAGATATAATCAGCTGGGATAAAACCTGGATGGAAAACCCTCCTAATTTGTACCCGACAGCCGCTCATGTGGCGTTGCGTCGTGGTGCCGAGGGAACAAGCAAGTTTTGGTGTCGCCTCTCCGGGCGCAACACACGAGGTCAGGGTACCGAGATGATTTTGCTATTGTTCTCTTATAATTCTCATGGTTATTAATTGATTAAAAGATGACTGTCATTTTTTTTCTTCTCGTCAAGACGAATGGTTGTATCTCCCACCAAGCATGTCAAGAGACAAATGGTGATGTAGGCAAGGTTCAGCTATCGAGGACCTGTGTCACTATCTGTAAACCGGGAATATAATATCGTGGGACAAAAAAAAAAAAAAAAAGAAAAAAAAAAAAAAAAAAGTGGCAAGCATGGGATGACGCAAAGAACCTATGGAGTGCATGGCCAAGATCCAGATTCAGGACAACCCGGTTCCAAGCCCTATCTCCCATAATATTTCTTTTCCGAATCGCTTCAGACAAACCTAAACTTCCAACTATTTTGTGGTTCTAAATTAGTCATCGAATTGCCATCTTTGGAGAAGGCTGCAGGTTAAATTAACTTTTTCTTTTTCTTTTCTTTTAATTTTCGAACGTGGCATCCGGTCGGAGGCCGTGGAATCAACTCGTGTACGTCCACAAATTTGAGATATCATGCAGCACGTCAAGGATATAAAGGGATGACATATGATCCAATCAATGCCTTGATAAAATCATGCGAAGGGACTGCATCAAAGTGGACCCGACATTGTTAAGAAATCACGGATGATCCACCGAGTTATCCACTTACAGGCCATTGGAATGTTTGGATAACCCTTCTTGTTTCCGTTTTCGGGCAATGTCACTACCGATGTATTGCTCGAAAACATCTGTTGGATATCATGTCGATCGTTTGAGTGATTATTTGGTTTTATCAATATTAAGAACTACTTGCACGCCACCACTCACTCAGACTGGTTCATAATATCACCTCACCAATGCATTAGCCTACGGCTGGCTCTCAGCTACAGAGAAACTCCATTTTTTTAATTATCCATTACTTTTTTTTTCCAACTCGATTAGCTTTGGAAAGACAAGTGGGTCTCAGAAGTTGACTAATGAGAAGATCCTTCGGACCCGCCCATGAGAAATTTATATTCCTCCGCATGTCCCTTATCGTTCATCCATCACCGACTGTTCATCTATCGGTCACAATTTCGCCATGTATTCCCCCAGTGCTCCGGATGCTCCGTGGGGCCATCAATGGCGCTCGTCGCCCTTCTTCATTGTCAGTGCCATGGCAATGGCCCTGTTCACTGGTATTGATCGCCTCTTCCGCATTGAAACCTATCAAGTGCAAATTTCTAATCGGTCAATCTACCCCCAGATGTCTTCTTGTATACCTTTATCGTGCCAATTCTTCCATATATTCTGGAAACCCGTCTCGGTCTGGATGTTTCTCTCACTCAGCGCATGAGCTTTACTTTGTTGGCTGAGAGCGCCATCGCATCTCTCGTCTGTAGCCCGTTTATCGGTCACTTCTCTGATAAACTCTCGTCGAAGAAAATGCTGTTGCTGGCCTCTTTGGCTGCAGCGTTGCTCTCTACCATTGTGCTGGCATTGGCGACTTCGCGTAAGTATCTAGATTGCACTCGATTTCCCCAGTCAGATGGCTAACTGTGACATAAGTCTTTACTTTGTTTTTCGGTCGTCTGGTGCAGGCAATCGCCAGTTCATTCATTTGGACGGTGGGATATGCTACCATCGCAGACAATGTCCGGCAAGACAATCTCGGGAAAACTTACGGCGTCATTTCCCTGGTTGTGGCGGCCGGCACATCGGGAGGACCCATGGCCGCGGGTATATTATTTGCGATCGGCGGATATTGGCTCGCATGGTCGAGTGCATTCATCATCCTACTCATAGACATAGTCCTTCGTGTACTGATGATTGAGCGCCCAAAAACCCCAGTCGGTGAGTTTCCCGACGCAACAAACACAAATCAATTCACCATCTAATTCGCCACCAAACAGGTACCCCGCGCTACGAGGACAGCGATCCAGAAAATGATCCCCTACTTCAAAGCCCTCGGACTGTCGTCGTTGAGGAAAAGACTGGATGGCACTTCTATGCATACCTTTTCCAACACCGTCAATTCATTTGCGGAGCCTTGAGTTACTTCGTCTTTGCCGTTCTCATTTCTAGCTTCGACACCACCATTCCTCTCCATGTACGTGGCGCCTTCAACTGGGGCAGTATGCAGTCCGGACTTTTGTTTGTCGGCCTTCAGGGCCCTGGCATCCTCCTGAGTCCACTCTGCGGCTGGCTCAAAGATCGCTACGGCACCCGCTACCCCACGACCGCCGGCTTCGCTATCTTAGCCCCAATCATGTGGTTGCTCGGCATGCCTGGAGACGACCGATTTCCTTGGGCGAATCATGGCAATGCCGGTCCGATTATCTACTGTGCTGCCGTGACCGCTGTCGGTGCATTTTCCTGTTTGTTGAACGGCGCGGGGACCATCGAAGCGACAGGTACGAAACTCCTCTTTCACATGCGCTACCCTGTCTCTAACACTTAGCAACAGTAACGGTCGACGAGATCGAGTCCAGACACCCCGGTGTCTTTGGTCCCAATGGCGGATACTCGCGCGCGTTGTCGTTGACGAGCATGAGCTGGACAGCGGGCGCGTTCATCGGGCCTATATTATCAGGTTATTTGACTGAAAGGGTCGGATATTACGAAATGAATTGTGTTATAGGTATGTCATCACACGCTCAGTTTCTCGCAAAACAAAACTAATACAGTCCAGCAATCCTCTGCATCCTCTCCTCCTTTAATACCTTCTGGAACCTTAAACACAAAACGCAAGGAAAATACGAAGAGCCCGACACTCCAAAATAGAAACCTCGCAAACCCTCCTCAACATATACCTGGTTCATGAACGATAGAAATTAGAACATGAAGAGACGGCGAATGCAAAAGTTGATTTGGCGTCTCGTTTTGCACGGATTGTTAAGATTGTACGATTTTAAGACTGTCCGCCATGATTATGGGTTTCTTTGATCATTATATCTGTTTATAGATCTACGTTTGTTCTCACGCTGGCGGCATTGGTTCCTAGCGTGCTTTGAGAGTGAATAAATGCCAATGATTTTCCCACTCAATCAAAATTGCCAGCTTGGCTCTTGATCTATCTTGCGATTCAACATATCACCACCTTTCTCTTCAAATCATCAATCATTTTCCTTACTCCACAAACAAGAAACCTAAGCAAGAACTAGAAAGCATGCCACTCAACCTCCTTCCTACTGACATGCTGAACACAATCTCAATTCATCTCGACTTCCAGGATATCCTCGCTCTTCGACAAACAGCCCTCGACCTCTACTGGAAAACAAACTCTCTGACGCTCGACTTCAACAAAACCATTGAAATCACCGCTCGCCACCTTCGTGATCTTGTAACCTTTACTCAGCCTTCCAGAATTGGCTGTTTTCTCACGAACCTCTCAATAACCAATGATCAACGGGAAACCAAACGAGAGATTGAAAATCTCGACCTCCTCGTACTAGCATTCAAAAACATCCGTGCCGACGGAGGCTTGAAAGCACTGATTCTGTTCACCCAAGAAGAGAGAAAACTACATTGGGAGCTGGCCGAGTATCGATATGACCGGGGTTTCACGATGGCTAATCCGGAGAAACATGAGTGGCGGCGGAAAAGAGGGCTGCAGTATGGCCCTCCTAGTAGTTTGTCGAAGCTTACAGTTTGACGTGATTTTCTCTTTGCTTTGGCGCCATTATCTCTATTTCTTTCCCATGACACAACCATAAATCACCACTTAGCCCTCTTCTCTGGACCACGAGTGAATCCTATTTGAGTAGGCCAGGGACTGCAGTTTGTATAGTGCTATTATTGTATTTGTATTAAGTTTACTTTCTGGATTTATGAATTGCCATAACCCCACTTACTGGGTCCCAACCAAGCATATCCTTGATATTGAAAGATAAATTTGCAATTGTTCTTCAGGAAGTCATCTCGATTCTGACTAGATTTGTTTATCGGTCGCCGTGATCTTTCTCCTTCTATATTTATCTACAATCTCTTATCGGATGTATAAATAGTTCTATGGGTTCATTTCCGTCTATCCATTCCGTGGTCCTCGGAAACATGGCAGGGGCGGAACTAAACCCGCTGCCTGCATACAGGTGCCAATGGATATGTACATATCTCCGGTGGGCGGTTATCGATTCAGTCGCGGAATCAACATGTTGCATTCCGGGTGAAAAGGAAGATAAGGGGCTGGAAGAGTTCAACAATTCCGCTTTGTTTTAGTTGCTACTTGGTTGTCTGCATTCAATCTGATAGCATTTTTGTACCATGTTGGTCTGTTCCTATACGGATTCTTTTTACAGCATGGTTTGGATCATGTTGAAAATCGCCTATTATTACTAGTAGGTTTCATTGCAGACATTATTTTTATTAGATTAACAGTCAGCATGATAAATTGGTGTTGGCCAGATTTTACTGTGGGACACTCCAACATTATATATATGCACCTCCGATTGCACCTCCGCGACAGTTTAGGTGCCATCGCAACATAGGCATTACATGCTAGAATTGGGGGAATGGCTAGTAGATATTAAAATATAGCGCTGAAAGGATATACTGGAATAATAAAAATTAAACACACTCTGTTAGCCACTAAATTCTAATACAAACCTTGGTGTTGTCAAAACTTAGATATTTTTAATTGTCTCTAAATTAAAAGCAGCTCAGGTTTTTTCAACAACTGGGGCGGTAGCTCAGTGGATAGAGTGGAAGATTGCAATCCCAATTGCAAGCATCTTTAGGTCGCCGGTTCGATCCCGGCCCGTCCCTCATTTCTTTTTCTTTTTTTTCCCTTCCCTTTTCCCCCTTCCGTGGAAGGAACGATCACATTCATTGTACAACAAACAGTAAAAACAATAATCATGTGTCTTTGTTTTTCCTCCCAAGAAATTTACCTTCATCAATGGTTGTGTGAACATCACCCCAATGCAAACATGCCTCAGACATCGTTCTTCTACATGCTTTCGAAAACAACGGTAGTCAGCACTCACAACACTTCAGACGATCCCCCTTCAAAGCCAAAAACATCCTCAAGAAAAGAGGCTGGTTATGAATCCCAACAGCTATACTTGTATTTGATGATGTATTTGATAATACCAAGTTCTGTTTCTGCTAAATTGACGAATTCGGAAATATGATCGGAGCCACCAGATCTGAGACAGTGATGGCATGATTTGGGTGCGGAAGGGCCGATATCTCCCCCGCAGGTTTTTGCATGAGCTAACCTGTTTCAGAATAAGGTGTTGTACGCTTCAAGCGTGGGATGCTTGTGCATGACTTTGTTGGTCTTGATGACCGGGTTGCCTGCATTCCGGACGGATCTGGAAACATGCCCCTTGCACATCCCCCGATGTTCCCGTTTATGCACATTGTATGCTCCCATTTATGTACATCCGCATGCAGCAGCGCTTCTGATTGGACCCCGACCATGTCGAAGTATAAAGGACCTCATGCCTTACGCAGTTTATGGCTATTCATCAACAACAACTTCAACGACACGGGAATCTACTACATTCACAATGGTTTCAATGAAGTCTCTCAGCATATGGGCGTCCAGCCTTCTGTACGCGACACTCCTCCGAGGGTGCTCTGCCAGTGATAGTCACTTGGGTGATGAACACGATATTGGTCCGGGGCTTGGGAGCAAACTCTCAAACGGCGCTAGCATCTATTTCCCTGGAAATGCGGAGTTTAGCAATGCGACCGCTCGGTGGTCGGGCTATGGCGCGCCGAACATTAGTGTGGTTGTGGAGGTTGCGAACCAGTGGGATGTTGCTGAGACCGTGAGTTATCTCTACTCACCCTCGAGCCTAGCGTGGCTGACATACAGCGTAGGTGAAATATGCCAATAGGCACCATGTCCCTTTCATCGCCATCAACGGCGGACATGGTAATATCGGGACCCTGGAGAATGTTCACCACGGTATTGAGATCTGGCTGCACAAGCTCAATGCCGTTGCCATTTCTGACGTCGGAAACACCGCTACTTTTGGCGGTGGTGTTCTATCCGTTGATGTCATTAACGCTTTGTGGGCTGCTAACAAGCAAACTGGTATGTCCATGGTGATATAACTTCCGATCGCGCGATCTAATAAAGCTCTAGTTACCGGTGTCTGTGACTGCACCGGTTTCCTGGGACCCGCTCTCGGCGGAGGCCACGGATACCTGCAGGGCCAGTACGGCCTCATCTCCGACAACTTCGTCAGCTTGGAAGTTGTGACTGCTGACGGAGAACTTCGCATTGTCACGCCCACCGGGCCTAACTCTGATCTGTTCTGGGCCATGCAAGGTGCTGGCCATAACTTCGGTATCGTAACTTCTGTGACCATGAAGATCTACGACGTGCCAGGCGACGGTACATGGGCCTTTGAGAGCTTCACCTTCACGCAAGACAAGCTGGAAGCCCTGTTTGAGTACCTGAACACCGTGGGAGACGATGGGAACCAGGCCGTTGATCTCGCCTACTGGGTTACTTTCGCTCGTGAGGAGGACGTGGACCCTGCAAACGTAGGTCCTATTCATATCGGCAACTCTTACCTGAAACTGACACACACCAGCCAATTATCACCATCTTCGTCGTCCAATCGAACGCCGCTACCATCGACGCAGAGGTCTCAGAGTCTCTACACGACCTCGGCCCCGTTGTCAGCGAAGCCCACGCCGGTCCCTATACATCCGTCTCCTCCTGGACCGAGTTCAACCTTGGTTCCCGCGCCTGCGGAAAGGGTGGTCCCAGCATGATCCGTTTCCCGATCAACCTGAAGCAGTACGATATCCCGACCCAGCGCGCCGCCTTCAACGCCCTCGCCAAGGGCACTCTCGAGCACCCCGGTCTTCAGCACTCCACCATCATGCTCGAAGGATACTCCGTGCAGGCCGTCAAGGCCGTCGATGAGGTCTCTAGTGCCTACGCCCACCGAGCTGACCACCTCCTCGTTTCTCCTGTGATCATCTACATGAATGAGACGGACCGGGCCCCCGCTCTGGAGTTTGGAGACCAGCTCCGTAGCATCTTTCACGCCGGCAGCGGTGAGAGCGAGCTGCACGCGTATGTCAACTACGCAGCTGGCACCGAGGCTCTTGAGACCATGTACGGCTACGAGCCCTGGAGACAGAGCAAGCTGTCCGCTTTGAAGAAGAAGTATGACCCTACTAACCGGTTCGGATTCTACGCGCCTATCCCGGCTGCCAGATAAATCTTTATTCTTATGATATTAGTGGTCCATGTTATTCAATAGTTGTTTGTATTGTTTGTTTGTGGTGTCCGTGCTTACTAGATAGAGCTGTTTACATTGTTTTATGTTTATGTACTGCAGAATGTATAGACCTGATTTCAATGCAATTATTGTTGTACACATCAAGTGGACTATTCTATAGACAATCCAACCACCGGTTAGATGCTATGTTTTCCACAACTCTATTGTTGATTCTGGGGTTGTCTCAGTGGATACAGCAATGAAGCTCGGTGGGGTGTAACGGGTGGGGGAATACAACCGTTATAGATGAAGCATGTATGATTCCCCACTTTGAGATGATCGACATTGGATGTCAGGGTCAGTTCTGGAGAAGACGCATTTGTGAAGTATAGAACATAACATAGAACACAGTGGGGATGTACAGTACCATTCTATAATTCCATCCATGATATAACTCATAATTTATGATGTAAATAGACAAGATCGTACGTTCACGTACTTTCACAACAACAAAGTACGGAGTACTTCCTACTCCGTACGAAGTAAATAGGCAGAAACCGATCTGACCGACTGATTAGAAATCCGAACCCTAATTCCCTCAGAGCCGAGTCTGGGAAGTTCGAATTCATGTGAAAAGGAAATCATTGTGGCCCCTGCGGTCGTTAGTCGAGATTAGTTAGTGTCTATGGGGTTATATCCACCTTGGTGCGCTTAGGGTTCTGTATCTGGAAGTAGATAGTGAGATGGGGCTGTACGGAGGACTCGGATCCTGCGAGACAGGAATCATGGTATGTCAGATTGTCAGTATGTCGGATTTAGCTTTGTTATTATTATTTTTTTTCTTTTTTTTCTTTTTTTTTTATTTTTTCTTTAATTTTTTTCTTTTTTTTTTATTATTTTTTATTTTTTAAAGTTTGAAGATGATGTGTTGTTTGGTGTATGTTGTGGCGTTTGTGCTCGGACTTGAGATTTGAGATTTTTGTGATGGGTAAGGCGGGGAATTGGATTCAGAGATAAAATATCTGATCGGGGTTTGTTTTATTTTATGTATATTTTTATTTAAAGAAATGACGGTCGGAAAGTACCAGGAAAAGGAAAAGGAAAAGGAAAAAAGGGCCTAGAAGAAAGTTGACCGTTTTGTTTGCTAGCGATGACATAAGGGATGCCCTGGTATTGCTAGGATTATGGATATTTCCATTGAAGCTTATCTCAAGCTACAGTTCATCCCTGTTGTAGTAGAGCATGGCGTTCAGGTTTTTTTTCTCCCTGACCCTGCAGGGGTCCACGCTCCTGCAGACCAGGCTCCCCGGTCCGTTTAGCGCATCATACGAGTCGACAGAATTTTCTCAAGCCATTGAAAGAATTTTTCACAAGTCATTAAAGGATACTTTTCGCACGGGATCGCGGTCTCGACACGTCTCAAACAAGGAGTAGTACTCCAGTACGGAGGACCTCAATAAAGGAAAGGAAGAAACCGATCGCCGAAGGAAGGACACCAAATCCACTCGAAACGGTAGATCTCAATTTTTGAGTTCATGCAAGTTTGTTTCAAATGGTAGATACGAGAATCGCCGAGCATACGTGCAGAAGATGAAGAGGAATTGAGTTTGCATAATTTTTCGAATAGACACGTACATTACAGCTTGCCCTATATCGCCAGTTGACCCGTCAGATTGAATACATCCGATACTTTCCCATTTGGTGGTTCGTCTGGGCAATTGGTGAAGCTAGCAGGGGAAGATAACTGCAGGCTGGTCAATAGTTGACAGGATTAAATATCCTGCAGATACGCTAAAGACAGCGCTACACAGAATCTTGACCATTCGGATATCGCCGTTGATGGGATGGAAGAAAGATCGAAAGAATCTGGTCAAAAAATGGGTAAAAACACACGTGGTCCGTGATGTAATATTTCCTCTTTTCAGGACTGTTTTATTCCCCTTTTGTTCAAATCCCGGAGACGTTGACCGTTTCTGGAAACGGGGAACGCGGCCTCATCCGTTCCGGTTGGTGATTTATTTAAATGTGGATCTGATACATCCTGTCTAATTATATATATATTTTTTTTTCAATCAGTTATTTATTTATGAATTTTTGATCATTCGGAGTATTTCGTAGTATTTCATAATTAGGTTATATCCGATCGGCCGATAATAAGGTTGAAAGAGACATTGAGTGTTCCATGGTAATTAGGGTTTGCATCTGTCATTCTTTGGATAGCATAGAATTGCCACCTCCAAAAGAAGGGAAAAATTATCACTGAAAAGAATAAAAAGCATTACCTAAATAAGCGACATACGTATATTGCCGACTTCAGCCCTGAATTAGTTCCTCAAACTAAACGAGATGGAGGGGGAAATTTCTGGATCTCGATCCTTTTCATCGACGTTCCATGCTTCAGAGTTCAATAATGCAAACCATTAGATTAATTACCCATGCCATATCTAGTCCATCTACTCCATACTCTTCTCCGTATTCCGACGTCTACCACTCGCTAGTTTTCTGATCCTTTCCCTCTCTTGACTGCCGAACCGACCTAACGGCCACTATGACGGAGGGTTCTAGAGTTCGCTG